TCTCTCCTCCGTCGTTCGTCGTCGTTCGTCGTACGTCTACTATATATATATATATATATATATATATATATATATATATATATATATATATATATAGAAGTGTGTGTAATCATGAATACAAAAATAGATTCATGTAATAGAACAGCAATTATATACAGAAAATACGGAAAATAAAAACAAAGCTTTTTGAGAATCAAGAAAATTATCGGAAACAACTCCCACTACTTCTGGCATCTTTAGCAGGTAACATCGCGACATGTGAGCTTATATATATATCCACAGGAAAAATATGTATACCTGATCGTATTCTATAAAACAACCAGCAATTATGGGCACCAAGGACTTGTTCACCTGTACTGATCTAACTTACTTACGCGTTCACCTGTACTGATCTAACTTACTTACGCGTTCACCTGTTCGTATCTAACTTACTTACGCGTTCACCTGTACTTATCTAACTTACTTACGCGTTCACCTGTACTGATCTAACTTACTTACGCGTTCACCTGTTCGTATCTAACTTACTTACGCGTTCACCTGTACTTATCTAACTTACTTACGCGTTCACCTGTACTTATCTAACTTACATACGAGCTCACCTGTACATATCTAACTTACTTACGCGTTCACCCGTACTTAAGCATGCGTTCACCTGCACTTACCTAACTTGAAGATGTGTATCGTTTCGGAATCGCTGCTGACGGCGAGCAGATTGGACTGAATGTTGAATGAAAGTGAGTAGATCTGCGCAGGATAGGTGCCTGTGGCATGGACAGTAAGTGTTGGTAAGGGTCAGTGGTGGACTGTACGCATGGGCTTAACTACAGCAGACTCCACGGCGTACATGGGAGGAAGCCAACATTCATATGACCAACAAGTGACTATATCACATCACATGATATGGACGGCAAGTGTTGGTATGGGCCAGTGGTATACTATACGCATGGGCTTAGCTACAGCATACTCCACGGGATGCATGGGAGGAAGCCAACATTCTTATGACCAACAAGTAACTATATCACAACACATAATATGGATAGCAAGTGTTGTACTATGGTATTGGTTCTACAAACCTCTCCTGAATTGGTATAGTTTTGTTATTGATATTGGCATTGATCTCACTTACCTCTCCTGAATTGGCATAGTTTTGTTATTGATATTGGCATTGATCTTACTTATCTCTCCTGAATTGGTTTAGTTTGTTATTGATATTGGCATTGATCTTACTTACCTCTCCTGAATTGGTATAGTTTTGTTATTGATATTGGCATTGATCTCACTTACCTCTCCTGAATTGGCATAGTTTTGTTATTGATATTGGCATTGATCTTACTTATCTCTCCTGAATTGGTATAGTTTTGTTATTGATATTGGCATTGATCTTACTTACCTCTCCTGAATTGGTATAGTTTTTGTCCGTCTGGTATTGAAAACACACGGATGACTGTGCCCTTGCCACTGGATGTGGCCAACATAGTCCCACTGAAGTTGAAGGATAACGCAGACACGGGAGTCTTGTGTGCTTGTATGATGGTCACAGCCTGCGTGAGAGAGAATAATTTACAATGTGTAAGTACGTTAGCACGCATAGATCAGCACACATCCCGATATATATATATATATATATATATATATATATATATATATAGTATATATATATATAGTATATAGTATAAGTAACTAACTAGTAAGTAAAGTAAAGTA